CCCCAAAACCCCAAAACCCCAAAACCCCAAAACCCCTTTGGATATAACCAAGATTGAAAAGTAATAAAACTTATCAAAATTTGGCAAAAAATTCTCCCTTTTTGTACTTTCTTTTAAGCTTCGTCTTAAAATCGACAAACCCTCTAGTTGTTAGAGCCAGTTCAGGGTTCTCTAGGGGTAAAATCATTGGAGAGTTCTGTAATGTCCTGGAGACAGATGATTTCCACTTTGGGGTGTTTTCTATAGATTCGGTAAATCCTTCTAGAAGATGTAAAAATCCTGAGTTATACTATTGTCCCTAATTAGGACAAATAGTGTAAAAATTAATCTAGCAACATGAAAATTAAATTAATTGATAAATTACTCAGTGCTTTTCTAAGTTCTGAACTTTTGGGCTTTAAGACATTGATTATCGGAGCTTCAGTAAAAGTCTGATATAGGGTAAAGTTCTTAGCCTTTTCAGAACTCTTGCTCTTCTTGTGTACTCTAAAGATCTTATTTCTGCTTAATCTCTTCATCAACAAAAGGAAGATCAATTGTCTCCTTTGAAGAAGAAGATGATTTTAGTCCAAATATCTGGTAGATATCCTTTACTTCTAAGCAGGGCTTGCCTCATGACTTGCTACGTTTAACATCAGCAGTGATGACACTGTTTGAATGCTCTTGTGGGAGCACAGTTGGAAATTTGTAATCTTTAAATTTCCACCCTTTTTCGGAACTCTTCGTAGAAATTCTCTTTGACATTGAGTTCAGACTCATATATTCTGACAGTTTGCTCTTCCTAGTAGTAATTTCAACTCCTCCCAAATTCCTATTATTCCTGATCTTCTTCAAGGCAATATTTGCAAAAGGGATTTGGTACAGTTGACTACTCTGATTTTCAGATAAATTAATCGATTTCGAGTCTCACTGTTTGATAGCTCCAAGAATTTTTTCATAATTTTTGGTCTGAAATTCATTCCTCTGCTCAAAGGCTTTCTTCTGCTGCAGACTCAGGTGCTGGATTAATTTCCTAGAAATTAGCCTCAGAGATTACTTTATCTGCTGCTTGTTGGTATAACTAAGCCTTATAGCTGTGTTAGTGCAGGTGTTCAGCTTCTTTGTTCTAAATTAAGCACAAGGCAAAATACTTCTTGAAGTTCTTGCTAACTCTGTTTAGGATGTTTGTGTCAAGTTTGGCTTTCTCTTTCCCACCTCAACTTGCCATTTGTATCAGATTGAGAAATTTCCGATCTGGAATGGAGTGACCGATTGAGGAATTCTGCTTACTCGTTTGTTGAATGCCTATAATTAATAGGAGATGTACCTTCTGAGAGGCCATGGTTATAGCCACGGATCCTGACCGGTTTTGAATCTCCCAAGCTCATCATTACTTGTGGCAACCCATCTGAAGAGAGCCGAGATGGCCGATGTGTCTCATCATTGTGGTCATAAGCTAGATTTTAGGGCATGACAGTGTACTAAACTGAAACATAATTTTATTTAATATTTTATATATGAAAGAAGGCTTACGGGGTTTTGGGGTTTTGGGGTTTTGGGG